AGACCTTTTAAGTGTTTATAAATAAATACTTTATTTTACCAGCACTTCAGCACTTTTCCAGGAATAGAAATTCAGCTGACTGTCCTATAAACAAACAAATTAAAAAAAAATAAAAACAAAACCAAAAAACACAAAAAACACCACCCCCCATGAAAACACAACCCCCATAAAAAACAAACAAAAACAGAAAATAAAGCAAAACAATCTTGTACTACAACCATACTTTATTCTACCCAGTTTTAAGCTCTAAATTGAAATAAATCTGAACTTGTCTACCTTTTACAGATTTCCAGAACTTCATATATCATCCATGAGTTTTCAAAGGTAATTATTAACAGGTTTAAGGTTACTTCATCTTGAAGTTTTTCAAAAGGCTTTTCTTCAAGTGATTTGAAAACTCAGGTCCTTTGACAGCTGTTGTTTTGTTTTATGCATTTCAGTATTACTCAAAAAATTATCAACTGATTTGAAACTTCTTTGGGTTAGACTCAAACTAATGCTGTTAGCAGAAATTCCAGTTTTAATGACATTCACTTTCAGCCTGGGAACAGCACTGATAACACCAGTGGTTTTAGTTGCTGCTCAGTCATGTTTACTCTGACCAAGGACTTCCTGAGTCTCATGCTCTGCCAGGGAGGAGGGGAAGCTGGGAGGAAGCAGAGACAAGACACCTGACCCAAACTAGCCAAAGGGGTACTCCATACCACAGCACGTCATGATCAGTATATAAACTGGGGGCAGTTACCCAGAAGGGTTAGATCACTGCTCAGTCAGGCTGAGTATCAGTCAGCAGGTGATGAGTGGTTGTATTCTTTTCCTTTCTTATTTTCCTTATTATTACTACTGGTGGTAGCAGTAGTGGTTTTTTGTCATACTTCATTTACTGGACTGTTCTTACCTCAACCCATGAGAGTTAAATTATTTCAATTCTCCTCCCCATCCCTCCAGGAGGAGAGGGGAGGAAGGGGGGAGAGTGAGAGAGAAGCTGTGTGGTTCTGAATTATAGCTGGCCTTAAATCACAACAAACTCTTTCTCAGAATATTGTAAGTCCTTCTGTACTCCTTTTCCCAGTAAACACCTGGTTTGATATATTTGTCGATAGTAAAGCCTTGCCTCTGGCTACTTTTGTTAGATGACTGAACAGGATGGGAAGAAAAAGCCCTGCCCACTTGATTTTCTTGGTTTAGTGGTTTGTTTTGGATCTTGATTCAGAGCAATGCAAATCACAATAACAATACTCCTTCATGTTCTTTATAATTACACTGTTGCTCTCAGCAGATGTCTCGTACTGTATTATGGACTGAGTACCCCAGATTATCTCTAAGAAATCTCTTCCTGTTTCTGTCCATCATCTATTCCTGAACAAACTTTACCCTTAGGTTTTAAAATTTAAATAATATTATACTGCGTGCCAGCCACGTCAGTTTGTAATTTTGTAATTCCCTGCTATAGATCACCAAGATGAATGTCTTGTCTTCTAAATTCAAGTGAAATGTACTGTTACTGTATCAGTTGTCAAAAGTTCAAACGCAGCATTCTCAACTCATTTCATTCCTTCTCTGTCATTATGCTTAGACCTTCAGTTATACAGATGTGTTTATAACAAGAACAGCTTTTCACATAAATCGAGATGTTGCTTAATTCATTTACAAAAAAGATGAGCAAGCTCTTCACACCATCTCAATTTCTATTGTCCTCCTCAGTTGTCTTTTCTCTAAAGTTTCTTGATCACCGTTTCTCACCTTCATAGTGCACTACGTATGTTCCCCTTAAAGAGAATTTTTCTCCCTTTGAATCACTTAGGGTTTCTTTTCCTTTATCTTCTATCATTACTGCACATCTGCCATCACCCCACATCCATCTCACCCCCCAGATCTTTAATTCCCCTGAGTGTAAAGTTACATTAATTGCAAAGATGAGTATCCTGTTTTGTAGTAGTACAGGATAAAACAAAAGGGAGGAAAACACACACACACACTAAACAAGAAGATGTAAGAAATTTAGAAATAACATATGTGAAATACAGAATAGTTAAGCCGGAAGGGACCTACAACAGTCATCTACTCCAACTGCCTGGCCAATTCAAGGCCAATCAAGAGTAAATGCATATTATTAACAGCATTGTTCAAATGCCTCTTAAATACTGACAGGCTTGGGGCATGAACCACCTCTCCAGGAAGATTCCAGTGTTTTGGTAAAGAAATGTTTTCTGATGTCAAGTCTGAATCTCCCTGATGCAGCTTTGTGCATTCTCATGAGTTCTACCGCTGGATATCAGTGAAAAGAGCTCAGCACCTCCCTCTCCACTTCCTCTCCTCAGGAAGCTGTAGAGAACAATGAGGTCATGCATCAGCCTCTTTCTCTCCAAACTAGACAAACTCAACATCCTGAGCTACTCATCATGCCTTTCAGGCTTTCACTAGCTTTGCTGACCTCCTCCAGACACATTAAAGTACCTTAATATTCTTTTTAAATTGCAGGGTATGGAACTGCATTTAATACACAAGGTGAGGCCACAACAACGCTAAATACTGGTCCAAAGAAAAAAATTGTAATTTTATTTACGAATCAATGCTATCTGCACACTACCATAAAAATATTAACAAAATGGTATCTTTTTCCTTCATTTGAATTAAAACACAGGGCTTAATACTGAAAACCAACACAAAACATTATTATTTCTGAAGTCATTTTTTCCAGCTTTTACTTTGGCTTCTGTTCATAGATGCAACAGATTTTTGGTGTTTATACTCATTCACCCAAGACCAAAACAAATGTTAATAAAGAAAAAAAACCTCAGAGCCCTGTTTATATCAACTTGATCAGCATAAAGCAGTAGTTGGCAATATAACTGCCACTATAATTTGAAGGCCAAAGCATCTAACCGTCCATATTTGTTTAGGAATTCTATAACATTACAAACTTATTTAGAATTTATCTAGTCTGTTTTATTTAGCACAGAGATTAGAATATGTACTTGAAATTAAGTTACTGTTTGGAGACCAATTAAAACCATTAGGACATGCAGCTGATGAACATATTGCATTTTCCCACTTCTCTTTCTTAAAGACAATTGATTATAACAGATCTGTAAATCTGAAAGGACTTAATTAGTATCCAGGGACAGTTTAGTGGCATTTAATTAACAAAGAGACTGTAAATTACTTTAAGGAAAAAAAAAAAAGACAAAACCCAAAACAAAGCTATCTAACCTCTCATTACATCCTGGTAGGTTTTGGTGGGTTTTTATTCTGGGGGGATAGGGGAGAGTTGGGAGAGGTGATGATTTTTTTTTTTTTTTTTTTAATAGAAAATTCTAGTTAAAAGGAATATACTTTGTCACTTAGAATGATCACAAGAAGCAACACTTACCTTCAGGCTAGCAAGAAAATTTTTCTAGAGCCTCATTCCAATTTTTTTTCTGTACAGCAGATGGAGTACATTTAAAAAAAAAAAATCTTTAAAAGCTAAAAAAAAAATAAAAATAAAAAATCATCCTAAACCTTTTAGTAAAGGAGAGTAAAATGTGGGTGATTAAAAGAGAAACAAAGGAGGATGAAATAAGAATGATATATATCTTTGATTGAGGAATCCTTGGCCAAATGGAAGAAACAGATGTAAACAGTGATGATTTTCTGTCTGCATTAATTTTAATGGATTTGAATTGTCTTCAATGGCACAAGGATTCTTACAGCACAGTTTCTGAATATTACTTGAAACCATCATATTCAACTTTAGCCTTAGGTTCACATCTGAATATATGAATGTTTATCATATCCCATGGCAGAATAACTCTTCCTCAGCTGAAGTAACTACTTCCTTTCAAAAGATTCCTCTCCTCCCACCCCTCGCCTCAAACAGCACCAGTTTGCCATTGAACTCTAGCACAATTTATCTAACAAATTTATCTAATTTATCTAACAAATAAATCTACTTTAAGATTGACAGTTGCTGACAGCTAAGAGTTTTTCCCATCCGTACTTCAAAGGCAAGAGACAATGTGGACTTCCCAGCAGTGTACCCTGCCTTTGAATTCTTCGAGTTATCCAAAGATGCTAATAAAGAGAGCTTGACAGTCTTAAAGTAGAATATCAATTTATTTACAGAAAATGCCACAAAGGAGAGGCTTAGCTTTTTAAAATGGATTTTTTTCTGTCTCTTCAAACAGCAACAGATTTCAAGAAAAAAAAGATGTTGTAGCTTGCATGACAGTTTATCAGCAGGATCAACCAGTGTCCTAACATGAAGGGTTGAGCCATCCAGAAAGGAATAAAAATGTAGAGTGAGTATTTCCTGAAATAATTCTTCATGATTTTAAAATAAACTAAATACTTGAGTCTCCTTATTCATTGTCAACTTTCCTTAAGGCAAAACAAATTTTAGAGTAAGGTAAGGGAAAGGTAACAAATTGCTATGTTTCTGTTGGAAAGTCAGGAGGTAATTTTTAACTCATGGAACTCATCTGCAAAACAAGCGTTCAAACTGCTTTTGGTTTCAATTTCTAGCAGCTAAAACCAGAGCCCCTTCTAGAATTCTCTCTGAAAAAAAAAGCAGATACCAAAATTACAAACAAATATGTCATCTGTTTTCTACCTTAACTAATGCCAGAAGCAGTGCTAGAATTTAGGTCTTCTGTTTGACCAGGCATACTAGTACCTCTCTCAAGTTACCATATTTTTCTTCAGAATTAAAAGCTTTAAATAAAATTAAAAGACATAGTTGTTCACAAGTGTTAAGACACTGCAGAAAATGCGAATAGAGTGTGACTGATGTTACTGACAGCTGTGAGCACAAACACAGAATTCAGCAACTAAAGCATACTTATGAGAATACTTATATAATAAATGTACTTTATTTGCTATAGACTACCTTGTTGATAGAAATTGTTATAATTCTCTTAAGAAATACGAGTAGTGACACCCCTCCTCCCTCTCTTTGTACAAGTGAATACATCTGCACATAGAATACATCTGAACATAGTTTAAAGCTTTAGCCTTACCAGTGCTGTCATCATAAACAACAGTTACTGTTTTCCACTTGAAGAACTGCACAAGGTCAAGTATGGCACGGCTGAGTGAAGAGAAATCTGGATAGAGGCTGACATAGAAGGAGTCCTTGTTGTCTGACACCTGATGTTTCCAGCGGGTTTGGATATGTGGAACACCCAAAGCGTTGCAGATGGACTGCACAGCATTAGCTGAAGAGCTATGGGATGGTCCGAAGATGGCAGCCACCCCAAGGGACAGCTGATCGCAGGCTGAAGAGGAGACAGAAGTCTGTCAATGATGAGAGGAAAGAAAGCAATGTGCCAGAAGGTACTGCACATTTCATATAAAACAAAAGGCACTCCGTGAAATCTAAACACACTGCTGACATATCTCCCTTGTTGTGTTACCCTTTCACTTTACACAGATTTCAGTTTCAGAATACATTTCTAAAATTTCACTATGAGTTGATGAATAACAACACAACATTAACATAATGCTTGGCTACATTTAATAAACACCTCTGTCAGTGGAAGTCACGAAGGCCAGCAATTGTGCATCTTCTAAAAGACACAAGAGATTTATGCTCAGTTGCATCTTATATTTGGAAAAGGTCCATATGGGACAGTCTTCCTCAACCAATCGACATTATTTCTACTGAGATCCTAACTACTTGGAAATTGTATGTGTTAAGTAGATTTCAGTTATTAGACAAATGATTAATTTCATTGAAATAGATATTTGAATTTCTCTATCTGAAAAGTAGGCATGTTGACTAGCAAAATTTAAAAGACAACATTTTCCTTCAAATTAAAAATTAAGTTGCTATCTGCTAATGAAAAATAAATAAATAAATAAATAAATAAATAATCAATGTCCCTTCTGAAACACTGGAAACACTCAAGTTTTCCTATACCTGCATTAACAGATAAAACTGACCCTGAGAGTCACTGACACAATACACTGCATTCAAATAGTTTTGCTCTCCTGTTTCCAACATAGGGCTGCCCTACCTATAAAATGCATTAGTAGTCTCTGGTCATTTATTATCTCCCACAGTATGCTCCACTATATTTTGTAGAGTATTAGTTGGGACAGGACAAAAAAATAATGCAGGAAAATTAGTCAGTAATGCAGATCAGCATTTCAGCCCATGCCCTTCTGTTTAGATAATTTACAGAGATATAACTTTTATGAGCATGCAGATCAGAAAAACATCAGATTCTGTCTTCAAAAAAAATACCTTATTTAATAGACAGAAGTAATGAAAAGTATCTTCTTAATCCAACCTATGCAAGCATTTGTATGAGGTTTGATTAATTGATGTTGTTACTCAAACATCAGTGTTCCTGACAGCTGAGGAAACAAGCACTGGAAACACATTTTGCCACATTACTTTTTCAGCAAATCAAAATTAGTTTATTGTGCACAACTTTTTCAACACGATGAAAATATTACTAGAACTTTCGGGTGTATTCCAGAAACTATGCTGGCACACCTTTTCATTTCTAAAGAGCACTTTTGGTTTAAATGAACTTTTCGTAGACATATGGGATCTCCATCGCATTTCCGAGCGTCGGATCAGGGCCTAAATGACTAGCTTGATAAAAAAAAACATTTATGCTAATATTGCCCTTCCTAAGAGTAATCAACAAGCTTTATGCAAATGTCAGTAAACAGGATCACTAACAACAGCCATAGCTACCAGATGGCTTTTCAATAGGCGCTTTTTTTCCCCCCTTCTGTTTCTGTGATTTGAATAACGCAATGCTTTCACACGTGATTTAATATGACACATACCAATTTTGCTAGTGTAGTGAGGATATTTTGTTTGCATTGACATTATTCTTCACTGAAACAGGATCTTGGTAATACTGTCTTACCTTCAGATTGCTATTTCGTATACTACCTTTAAAAAAACATTAATATTTCATTTATATTCAACTTCAAAACTATGTGTTACAGAAAGCTCTAAACAGGCTATTTTTGATGCAGCATCTGCCTGCTCACTGATAGTCATAATCATGAGCACAAAATGAGTCAAATGTTTAAGCCTCATTGTTAAAACTCTGTTTTGGAGCCATCATAAATGAATCATTTTATGTTGACCTTTAGCCTTTAATTCTGAACTAAAGCACCTGTCAGTACAAATGTAGTTGGCTGTATTGTGAATTGATGAAGCAAAAGGTTATTAACAATGAAAGATGACACAGTTACAACCAGTTACAAATAAAGAGTTGCATTCTCATCCAAGATGCAAGTGGGAACAATGAATATATACAATCTATTCAATATGTCCAATCAACAGCATGTCACCATTTTAACTTCAGCTACTACAGTCTATCAAGAATCAGCAACATGCTAGCTTTCACTTTCAAGCAAACCTCATTTAAGGGCTGAAAGTAGTTGCATTGTCTCAGGAAAGGCTTAAAGAATTAAACATCACAGAATAAATTTCTCTGCTCTCTACAACCTCCCTCAGGAATTGAGAGACTTTGTCCTATTTCACAGGACAGTGTGTTCTGGAGTCAGGAAACAGCTGAATTTGGAAGATGAGGAGGAAAGGAGGAGGCCAGAATTTATTTATTAATTGGCCAAGATGGAAAAGAAAGAGTAGTCTTTCCCAGAACTTACTTTAATCTATGAAACAAAAGACCAAAACAACAACTCAAAAAGACCTTTTAAAATTTGTTATTTTCCTTTTATTTCTTCACAAACCCTCCTCTGCAAAGAAATTATCTTGCTAGGCATAAATATTTAGCTTATAATATTTTTCATAAATCTAAACACTTTACAATGACCAAACTGTGTGTATTTCTCTACAAACCTGGATGTTGTATGCTTTCATACTTAGCAACAACAGCCCATGTTAGAATTGTTTATTTAGAAGACAAAGAGACAAAACAGGTTAGCAACATTAACTTTGTATGTTACAGCAAAAGCGAAAATATATTTATAATTTCTAAACTATTTTTTATCACAATTATATTCCACTTAAGATGTACTTCAATGTACATTCATCCTGACACAGCAGCTTTTCCATATGTAGCATTTATAAGGTGGCATCAAATGTTTGTATTCATCTTAGCTCACTATAACATCAAAACCATTTTATTCTGTAAAGCTTTCAGTCTTCAAGGCTTCGAGTGGCATGCTGGGACCAGATCACTTAGCAAATTTTGCTAGAAATCTGTCATGAGAAATGCAGGTTGACTTCTGACTCAGCTTTTTTTTTGTTGTTGTTTTATTGTTGCTAAGAATAACATTCAGATGGAATCGTCTCCTCAATTTAATGAAAAAAAGTTTTTTCAAAGAACATGTAATACAATGCAAAACTGAGTCCTACTGAGTTCTGACGCTAGGCTTTGTATTTTCTTCTATAAATACATATTGAACTTGTTGGGGTTTGTGCTTTTAGGATATGACAATGATGCAGTACAACTTACATCTACCATCATGGGTTTGAATGTAAAGCAATATGGAAACTCCAATTTGTGTAAGAATCAAATATATCAAAATTTATAAAAAATGTTTAAAAATAGATCCAATTTTTAATTTTTCTTTAAAAACTTATTTATACTTAGGGGAAAACTACTGAACTTAGGCTAGACATTTACCTAGTAACATTTACCTGATAAGAACAGGTTTAATATTAAAGGGGGGGGTTATCCTATGCTAATATAAAAAACACAAAATTACAACTACTTGCTCCTCTTTGAAGCACACACACGATTAACTGCATATGAGACATTCATACGCTAAAGTTATTTGTAGAGATGTACTTGAAGTAATTGGGTGCTTAAAACTAATTGGAGCCTTCTTGTAGGTTCACTAGAATTTGGGGGCACTTGTCATTTTTCAGGAAAAAGTCTGGAGATAGAGTTTTCTCACTCCAAAAGAGTTGGTCACAATGCTCAGAAAAATTTATTTCAGATTTTAAGTATTTAAAGGTACAGCTTTTAGACAGGGGCAGTAGGAGCAAAGATGACAACATAATTTGTAAGCAGTTACCATTACAGCCCTCCAGGAGCGATCTTTAAAGCAGTTCTTTGATGTCAACCACAAACTTGTACAGTACCATTGCATATGGCTTTATTGAACAGACATTTTTTCAGGTAGGTAAACTAGGTGAGTCTTAGTTTCTCATTAAAAAAAAACAAATATGCAAAAGGTTACCTTTTTTGGATGCTTCAAAACTGTCATAGAGATTTATCTTTTGGGTGTCATATGTTAATGTGGTGTTTGGCAGAAGAGTTCTATTTCTGTTGATTGTGTTCACAGCAAATCTGAAGGCTAATTCTTCTGCTCCCATTGGGCCAGATTCCACACACTCAAAAATGCCTCCTGTTAGTGAAAGAAGAAAGGAAAAAACAAACTTAATAAACCTCATACAGCGTAACTTATGAAATTATCTCATTATTTTTCTAAGGTCTAGGACAAACCATAAATAACCCACCAACAAATCAAGCTGACCTCAATGAAAACCTGTATATTTATTTAGAGACTCTCCCTTTCTGACATTATTAAATATGAAAAGGCTTTTCAGTTTTGTAATTCAGGTGCCTCTTCCAACCCACTTCTCACAATGGGGTGGAGGTGTTAAATTTTTTCCTACAGATGAACTCTCCAATGGTTGCTGAGAGCCCTAGGGGCAGATGCTCAAATAATATTAGTTTAAAAGCACAAGAACTAACCACTGAGAAGAGACGTGACTAATAATTATTTAAACGTTAATCATTTAAAACTGAGAATGAGACACTGATGGGGAAGGCATTTGTTTAAGCAAAAAATAGATATCTAGGGAAACAGTCCAAACTGATTGAGCATAGAATATGTATGTAAGCAATCTTAACAAATCTAGAAGCTAAAGCAAAAGATACTTGGATAATATTTAGCTAAATACAGGCATAGTACACAAAAATTGAAAAAAAATACCATATTTGTTTTCACGATAATTCGATTTTAATATGAATATATATTTCATGATAATTCAATATTAATATGAAAAAATCCAAAACTGAAAGTCATCTTTCTGGAGTCGGCTCATGATTAAAAACTCCATCACCTCTAAACGTGAAAATTTGCCGATAAGTCATTCCGATCATATCATCTCCTTACGTCTTCCACTACACAATAAGCAACATGTTGTTCTTTTCAGCATATATGCTCCAACTCTGCAAGCTGACCCTGCAGAAAAAGAAAAATTCTACTCCGACCTGCATCACCTCACTCAAAAGGCTCCTATAGAAGATAAGATCATGATCCTTGGTGACTTCAACGCTCAAGTAGGACAGAACTGTGAAGCCTGGAAAGGAGTACTAGGCAAGCACGGTGTTGGCAGCTGCAATGATAACAGTCACCTCTTACTAGAGTTCTGTGCAGAGCAACAGCTTACCATCACCAACACTATATTCCAGCAGAAAGACAGCTGGAAGACAACCTGGATGCGTCCTCAATCTAAACGTTGGCACCTTATTATGTTTTAGTGCACCAGAGAAATATTTGTGATGTCTGCCAGACCAGAGTGATGCCTAGTGCAGAATGTCAAAAAGACCACCGCCTTGTGTGTTGCAAACTTAATTTCCACTTCAAGCCCAAACCTAAGAGGGGCGGCATTCCAAGGAGGAGGCTCAATGTTAATAATCTCCAAATAGCTGCAGTGAGGAACAGCTTTCAGGCCAACCTTCAGATTAGGCTTGAAGACCAATTTATAGATTCTTCTCCTGAAGTGCTTTGGCAACACATTAAAAACAGCATCCTGCAGTCCTCCGTAGACTCCATTGGGTTCTCCTCTAAGAAAAACAAAGACTGGTTTGACGATAGCAACCAGGAGGTCCAGGAATTGCTGACAAAGAAGAGATCTGCTCATCAAGCACACCTCGCTCAGCCACTCTGCCATGTAAGAAAATCAGCCTTTCGTCTTGCATGTAGCAAACTCCAACAGAAACTTAGAGACATCTAGAATAAGTGGTGGCTCAACCTGGCAGAAAAGACTCAACTATGTGCAGATTTGGGTGACCACAGAGGATTGTATGAGGCTCTGAAGGCAGTGTATAGACCCACATTTCAGATTCAAAGCCCCTTACTTAGTGCAGATGGCCAAACACTTCTTACAGATAAAATCTCCATCCTGAGCCATTGGTCTGAACCTTTTCAAACCCTCTTTAGTGCTAATTGTGTAGTCCAAGGCGAAGGAATCCACACATTCTGCACATTCTGCAACAACCGGTAAAAAACGAATTGAATTTAGCCCCTACCATGGGAGAGACTCTTAAGGCCATACACCAGGTGAAAACTGGCAAGGCAGCTGGGGTTGACAGAGTCCCACCTGAAATCTGGAAGCACGGAGGCCAACCACTTCATGCTAAATTTCATGAGCTAGTTGTGTGCTGTTGGGAACAAGGCAAAATACCATCAGACTTTTGTGATGCAATCATCGTAACTCTGTATAAGAAAAAAGGTGTCAAGTCAGACTGCTCAAGCTACCGTGGTATAACTCTGCTTTCCATTGCTGGTAAAATTCTTGCAAGAATACTATTGAACAGACTAGTACCTGCTATCACAGAAGAACTTCTACCTGAAAGTCGGTGTGGTTTCAGAGATAATAGAAGTACCACAGACATGGTATTTGTTCTCAGACAACTGCAAGAAAAGTGTAGAGAACAGAATAAGGGGTTATATGTAACTTTCGTTGACCTCACCAGAGCTTTTGACACTGTGAGCAGAAAAGGCCTGTGGCTGATCTTGGAATGATTAGGTTGTCCCCCCAAGTTCCTCAAAATGATTATTCTGTTACATGAGGATCAGCAAGGCCAAGTCAGATATGACAATGCACTCTCTGAGCCTTTCCCAATAACCAATGGTGTGAAACAAGGTTGCGTTCTCCCACCGACTTTATTCACAATCTTCTTCAGCATGATGCTCCAAAGGGCTACGGCAGACCACGACGAACAAGACGGCATTTATATTCGATATTGTACTGATGGGAGCCTATTCAATCTAAGGCAACTGAAGGCCCACACTAAGACCTTAAATCATCTTGCCCGTGAACTGCTTTTTGCTGACCATGCTGCCCTTGTTGCCCACACAGAAGCAGCTCTGCAGCATTTAACATCTTGCTTTGCAGAGGCGGCCGAGGTTTTTGGGCTGGAAGTCAGCTTGACGAAGACAGTAGTCCTCTACCAACCTGCACCGCAAGATTATCGCCATCCCCACATTACCATTGGCAAATCAGAGCTTAAGACAGTTCAGCAGTTCAGCTATCTGGGAAGCATCATTTCCTCTGATGCCACGATCGACAAAGAGATAGACAACTGAATAGCAGAGGCATATAGAGCCTTTGGAAAACTCCATAAAAGAGTCTGATGCAATAAACACCTGAAGAAAAGTACCAAGATCAGTGTCTATAGAGCCATTGTATTGTCTACTCTTTTATATGGGTCTGAATCATGGGTTATCTACCATCATAACCTGCGACTCCTGGAACGCTTTCATCATCGCTGCCTACGTACAATCATAAACATCCATTGGACTGACTATATGTCTAATGTCACTGTCCTTGAACAGGCAGGGGTCACCATCCTTGAACAGGTAGGGGTCACCAGCATCAAGCCATATTGCTGAAATTGCAGCTGCGCTGGGCAGGGCACGTCTCTAGGATGAAGGATCACCACCTCCCCAAGATCGTGTTTTACGGTGTACTTGCCACCGGTAGCTGCAAGAGAGGTGCCCCAAAGAAGAGATATAAGGACTCCCTGAAACAATACCTTAGCCTTGGCCATATTGACTACCATCAGTGGTCCACCTTGGCCTCCAATTGGGAGACTTGAAGGCACACCATACATAATGCCGTTGACTCCTTTGAGAGCTCATGAAGAACTAGTCTCGAGGAGAAAAGACAACGCAGAAAGAATCGCACCCCACCTGTACCACCCAAGGAGACCTTCTGCTGTGCTTTTTGTAGGCAGATTTGCCTATCCCACATTGGCCTTCTTTGTCATCAGCGCGCTTGTAGTAAGCGTGGGTAAAACCCTTCCCAAATCTTTGCTCGAAGTCAAGCCATGATGATGATGAAAGGCAACCATTGCTTTTGATATTAAGGAAGTACTCTGTTCAGGAAAACATAGTCTGACAGGACTGCTTAAGACTTACAGCATCTAAACATTATAGATCAAACTGTGACATAATAAGAAGATCCTATTTTGATTTGGGGAAATATTTAAAAATTGCTGCAGAATGCTAAAAGCTAGTGAATACATAAAACGTATAGACACTCAGGGACAAAAAAACTAAAGACATTTCCATGAACATAATTAAAATTAAGGTAGATTTTACAGGCTTTTCTAAGCAGTTGTTCAAATATATCTGAATAACCTAGTATCACACAAACAGATATTAAAATATATATATATATTTACCCTAAGTTACAACAGATCCATAAAGAAAAATAGCATTACAATATCTCTTTCTTCGACCTGAATTATTTACACTAGAAGATTTCCTATTTCAATGTGTTTGAAGGTAAATATAATCTTCCTTTTTTATTCCTGTATTTTTCATTCTGCTCATTTATAAATTCTTGAGATGGGGAATTCCTTCTCAAAGATGCAGCCACTCCTCTCAGCATAAGATAAAATAAATATGCATTTTTTACCTCTCATATCTGGGTAATTCTTAATAGTAGTGACAGTCCATCACATAGTAAGCCAGTTTTATGAAGATGTCAAAGTCTCTACCTGTGGTGAGTGGCAACAACATGTAATTTCCCATGTGCACCATTCAGTAGTTTGTTCCCTCATTCACACATTCTCTGTTCCTGTGATAAATATATCCCCAGCAAAGCTAGCAGCATATGGTCTGTCTGCCTCAGGGTAAATCTGTATTCCCAAGGAAAATGGGTAGAATAACCTGTTTCTGTTGTCCTATGATTAGGATATTTTCCTAGAACGAAGGAAAAAACAGTTTCTAGTACCCACTCCTGAATATTTTCACATTTTACATTGAATAGACACTGAATTAAAAATAAAAACCCTAGAGGACTCTAGATTAGACCATATATTTGCAGTTTCCTGGATGTTTTCTACCTAGAGGGCGTCAAACTTCCACTAGCCACCTTTCATTTTAGCTTTATGCTACTTCCATAGCTGTCTGCTCAAGCAGCAGGGGAGGACTATCACACAATTCAGTATTTTCATAGCAGGTGTAAGTTCATCTTAACCTTCACACCAAGAAGAGACTCTAATCAAGAGGCTCTCAAAGTGGACCATGTCCTGCTAATGTGCAAAATGGCTGAAAGTGCCAGGCTCCTCTGTAATGAGTAACAGCTGTTAGCTTTGGCTAACCTA